AACGTAATTGCCATCGGCTGCGAGTTTTTTTTATAAAAAAGGACAAGGCGAATACGTTTATTTTTTATTTCTAATTCTCGTAAATGTATAAAATGTAATATACACCCATCTACTTCTATGCATAGTTAAATATAAAACTATAAATTTGTAAATATGAATTTACGAATATATTTTATATAGGTTTTAAAAACTTGAAGCACAATTATTATTATCATTCGATTTAATTAATTTGGAAGTTGTACGTGTGTTTAACTAGGTTTTAGGTGCGTATTTTTTTATTTTTTCACAATATACGGTCAGGAGGCTGTTTAAATCGGACGGGGAAAAAGCAATTCGGAAAATTACCCTACTTGACCGGAGTGCGGAATACAATCGTTTTTTCGGTTCAACTATTTCAATTAATTTTACGGGCGGATCAGATTAAAAAGTTTTTTTTTTACGCCTGGCTCAGATAAAGAAATCATGGATTTTTCCAGCCCCCGTTTATTTAAATAGATATTAAAGGTGATGAGTAATATTTCAGCCAGCTCGGAGTATTTAACTTTTGAATTTTAAATTAAAGAAGTTATATGCCGAGTCTTTCGACCATTTCGTTTGACATATGTCAAGTATTTATAGCGATCGAAAATCACTTCAGATTCACGTCCTAGCATACTCCTATATATAAATATTGCAAGTAGAAATAATTAATATTACCTATACGAACTTTTGTTGTTGCTGCGGTGTATTATCAAATGTCCTTTCACTTGAAAATTAATCTCTAAAGGTTAAAACATATTATTATATAATAGTTCTCGATTTGATTTTGTTTAACCTAAACAATTGTATCATTTACACATATTACATGCTTACATAATTTGTTAACGTCATAATATACTTTAATTTATGAAAAAAAAATAAAAGAAAAAATTATTGATATTAAAAACATAATTTACACCGTCTAACAAAATGTACTACAACTATTTGACAACCGTATAAAATAGATAATAACTTGAATGTGCAGAAGAGACTTAATTATATGTATATACGTTTTTATAATTTTTTCACGCTTTAAAATAACATGGTTTAATCTATTTATATATCTTGGAGATTAACTTAATTAATATACGCATGTGGCGTATTAAAATAATATTGAAATAATAATTTACTACAACGTTTCCGGTGCAAACATTTTTTTTTTTTTTTTTTTTTCATTGAACATTTACGTTGAATTTTTAAATCTGATGTATCTTAATCTCAGTGTTTTAAACATGTGTGTATGTATGTGTGTGTGTGTGTGTGTGTGTGTATATATGATATAACTATATTTTATCAATAAATATAAAAACGTATACTTAAAAATATGTACGTAAAGTGCTTGTGTGTATACATTTTAAGTCTCATCACGCGCACTACAATTTACTTATTTAACCATTAAACTATAATTTGTTATAAATATATAGGTATATTATATATATATATATATATACCATTGTTTAAATTAAAAAGTTTAAACTTTAATTGGATTTAATGAGAGGATATTTTTTTTTTTTTGTAACACTTTATTGATTTTTACTGTCTGTCGTGGCAACTTTTTTAAATAACGTAAAAAAAATGGTTTCCAAACTCAGATAAAATATTTGTATAAAAAGCTTTTAAAAATACGTTTGTAATAAACAACTGACGTTTTGTTTACGTATATGCGATTTTTAACTTTCCGCTACATTATTTTCAAGCCAACGATTCTGTGATGACAGGTGTATTATGCGCATTCAACTTAAAAATATTACACACGCAGGTAAGTGTTCATAACCGACATTTTTGAAGTATAAATAACTTTTACGTACACAACTGTTTTTGAAATAAAAACGTTTATTCTTTCATGATATATTAATACACACTTATATATACAGTAAAAATGTATTAATTTAGTAGTCAAATATTGTTGTGTATGATGTACTTTTCCAGGATCTCTATATGGGTACATAGGTGTACCATAATTGTTTTTAAATATTTAAGTAATTAGTATACATTTTTTATGAATTTGAATAAATCTCAATTAGCTCATTTTGCCACACAAAAACCAAATAATGTTTTTTTTATATACGATGACACTCAGGGGCGGATCCAGAGTCAGGGAACTGTGGGTCAAGCCATTTCAAGAAATCATTTATTAAGGATGAAACTGAATTAGAAATGAATACGTTGTAAAAAAAAAAAAACATAATATGCTCATAAAAGAGTATAAGTATATTTATATTACATTTTAGAATTAGTGATACCACCGATAATGACATATTTACGATTAATAAATATAATCTTATTTTATCAGCGCAACAAACGTAGGAAATAAAATATGATTTACTTAACTTTCTACTAAAACGATATAATTTAAAATATAAATTATGAATTGAAAAATTTTAAATTTTGAATATACATGGCATTCATTTTTCAAGTAACTCCGATGGGCCAACTGTCCAAGAGTCCAAATCAAGGTCTAAAAAGAGAAAAAAATTTCCAAGAGGCCAATTTTGTCAACAAATATTAACTGTGGATCAGCTGACCCCATGAACCCCTTCCCTATATCCACCCCTGATGGCACTGCAGAATCGATTTTATTCTATAATTTAGTACAACTTTTGAATAATTTTTCCGAATTACAAAAACAATAATTTAAAAAACAATTATATTTCAGAGTAAGAATATTTTGTACCAATTTTATCAATATAAATACCATATAGTGATTTGCATTAATAGCATACAAATTAATACACTTATTATTCTTGATTTTCAATTTATTAATTTAATTATATATTATATAAATAATTGATTATATTAATAGATATTTATAATTATTTTTTATGACGTATAAAGCTCTAAAAACAATTGCTAAGTGCAAACTTCTAGCTTTACATTCAAAATGATTTTAATAATAAGTAATTAAACTTTGAAAGAAAATCTAAAATATTAGTTTATGGCACATTATCATAAATTTGTATTTGTTTATAATTATAATATATATAATTATATACATATTATTTAGGTAATAATTCATTTATTTATTAATTATTAGTCAAGCATTTAGACCAATTTAATAAAATTCATATTTGTATAAACTGATAAAATATAATTTAGTTTGGAAAATTATCAAAATAAAAGGATGATTCTGATATTTTATTATAGGTAAATTTTATAAAATATAAATGCAATATCTTTAGTTTCAGATATCACCTTTTCAATAATAGTATGAAATAATATTTGATACTCAAAAAGTTATAGTTTTTAAACATAATAAATAAATAATGGAATATTTACAATCAAGTTATAAATATTTTAAGAATTTGTAATTATCGTTCTGTAATTTAAAATGCGTGTAAGGATGATACTTGTGGCAATTAAAAAAATAATTAATAAATCAAACACAAAGAATATTTAACACTAAGTCTATATTTGTATCATATAAAAAATGTCAATGATTATTAACAAAATATGTTGTACTCTTACCTATTTTATCTTAAAACTTGATTCTTTAGCTGAGATAAATAAAAATGTCAATAAAAAAAAAATGATAAACTAAGTTTGAGCAATAACTTGATATGTTAGAATTTTATTTATGATATATGTTAAATTTGTGGTACACATTATAAAAATATTATTTGTTAATTATAATTATTTAAATACAGACAATTTATTAAAACACAAACTATATATTTAATGGACTCATCAATGAATATAAATATAGTTATAAGACTGGGATATTGCACTTTAAATATAGAGCTTTATAAAATTACGAAATCATAAATGGAGAATCGTACTTGCACGTACTGTTCATAAAATATTACCTATAGTATTATACATTTTGTAATGACTAATATGAATTTGGTAAAAATTTAAAGTATTTATACCATATGTGGTTAATTTTATAGTTTTACTTATAATTTATATAAAAATGAATAGTAAAAATGTTATTTTATTTTTGTTTTACCTTACACCGCAATATGATACTAATACTGGTAATCTATTTCGCAAAGATTAAATAAAGTATCACCAAAAATAAGTTATTGATAAGCAAACATAGATCGTACTTTAAATTAAAATTTTGTTTTTTTTTTGAAAATCAGTGGTACAGATACAATATTTTTATTAAATGCTGATTTTTCCTTTAAATTATTATATTCACATCTCTCCGTGTTTAAAACAATTATAGATAATGGAAAACTGTAATACGGTTCATTAATGTTGAATGCATTTACCACATGTTATAAATATCAATAAGTATGGTACACCATCATCCTCAAATTTATTCATAATGATATACAAATGATATTAAATCGAGAGTTTATTGGTTCATTAGCACAGGGGTCGGTAACTCCAGGGGTCGGAAGGCAATACTCTGGACCCTGTAAACTTTTATATTCATACTCCTAATTTTTAATATAAATTAATTTTGATAACCAAATAATTTTTTTTATTTTTATACTGCTATTTTTAAAATATAATGATTTGAAAAAGATTTTCACTGGACCTCATTGATTTATTTTTTATTCTTTAGGACTCCAATGTAAATTATTTGCCGACCCCCGCGTTAGCTAATAATATACGTATAACAGGATAAAAAGATCCAAGTGGAAATATCTATGATTTCGAACCACATATAGTGTGCCGAACCGATGTAGAGAATTTTATTACAATTAATCATTGCATATCGGATATCGATAGTATATAGTAGATATCGGAAATACGTTTACGAGCATATTAGTAACACATTTTAAATTTTCGTACGGTAAGTGCTGCGGATTAGAGTGATTACGCGCGTTGCAATTTGTTTGTTGACCACATTTTAGTCATCGGATCATCGCACAACGTGAAATATGCGAAATACCAAAGATCTGAAAATAAACGTGGACGTTTTACGCGGACTCGACGAACTGTGTCGTACGAGCGCGGACCAAAAGGCGGTCTACGAAACGGAACGGTAACTTCAACATTTAACGCCAACGCGAATTAAAACTACAACTCACCGGCAACTGATGGGTCGTTAGAGAAATCGACGCGGGGCCTCCACCTGGGCAGGATGGCGGCGGGCGCGATGAGTTTCTTGGTGAACTTATTCGGGTCGAGTATGTTCTCGACGGAGAACGCGAGGCCGCCCTGTTTGTTGCAAGCCGCACCACCGCCGCCGCTCGTCTCGTAATCACCGGCCGCGGTGTCCATGGGCACGGCGGTGGACGCGGTGGCCGCGGTGCACCCGGCCTTGTTGCCGTCCTGCTGCACCAGCTGCAGTTGCTCGGAACCGTGCAACCGGTTGTTGGTCAGGTCCACCGGGTTCAGCTCGTCCACGTTCAGCTCATCGTCCTCGTCGGACGTCAACCGGTCGCCAGCCTCGGCGGCGGCGGACACGGCGACCACCGTCGTGCACGTGCCCGTCGACTGCGCGAGATCGTTCGCGGCCGCGGACGACTGCCGCTGCACCGTGTCCAGTTCGCCGCCACTGTCGGCCGCGGCCACAGTGCCGGCGATCGGTTTCGAGAACGGGCTGGCCGAATGGTGGCGTATACCGTTCAATCGGGTCTCGTCCGCGAAACCGTTGTTGTTGTTGTTGTTGTTCTGGAGCAGACGCTGCATCATCATCATGGTCATCATCGCGGCTGTTTCCGCGTCGCGCTTTATTGCATCGCCGCGGAGCGGTCCGGACGCGCGCACGGTCGGTTCGACGCGAGCAGACGGATAGGTGAACGGGAAAACGTCCGTATTTACACGTTGACCGTACGTTTATTCCACTGTTGAACGGTACATTTGAAAACGAACGGACCGCGGACCGCAGGGAGAAAAATGCACACGCAATAAAACGACTTTAGTACGCGCGGCGGCGGCGACGACGACGACGACAACGGTGTTCGCGTACGATGCGTGAGTAGCAACACGTGAGTAGAACGACATGTAATAGCGTCGCGCGGAGTGTGCCGGACGGGTTCCTACACTCTCCGTCCGGCTGGCGTGGCCGCGCTGGGCGTGTACCGATCCGATTGGCGCGCAGACGGTTCGGGGGCGCGGCCGGGCGTTTTTATATTCTTTCCTTCGGCCCTTCGTGCCCCACCGCTGCCGGGATTTTTTTTTTTCTTTACGCTTCTGCTCGGCGTTCGGCGCGCCGCGTAACACTCTATTACCGGGGCGGCCGGGCGTTGATCAACAATCGCGACCACTACCCTCCGCGCCCGTCATCCTGTCCCGTCATCCGGCCACCCGTGTACCGGCGCGCGCGCGCCGACCGCACTTCGCTGTTCCGCGACGGGCGTTTCCGCCGTCCACCCGCGCGCGCTCCGTACGTGGATCGAGACGGACACGCAGCGATCGTTTAACCGTGCGAACACGTTCGGCCCCTCCGAACTCGGACGTTCGTGCACCGGATAAACATAATTGAAGCCACGTTAATTTCGCACGTTCACTTAAACCCGGTCGTACAATAATCATTAGCCGGTTGTCGGCGTAACCGCGCCACCGAGGCCGGTCGATAAACCGCCGGCGGGCCGAAATCGCTCGACCATCACCGCCCGCCGTCGACGTGTAATATGTATAATCGGAACAATAGTATTGAGTTCCGCTCTTTCCGTGTCGATTGCACCAAAGGGTGTATCGCTTCGTCGTTCTATGTGAGTCTCGAACGTTTGAAGTGTCTCATAGGTGTTTTTTTACCAAAAACTTGATATATTGTCGATCTGTAAGATGATACACTCGCATGCTTACATCTAATGGAACGCAACACTTTTGATTTAATTCGCAACTTAATTTTGACGAATCGAAATCAGCCCTTCTCGCCCTAATATAATTTATCGCTCATCGCGTATCGTTTTATTTGGTAGGTGTCTACGTGAGCATACTTGAAATACCGAGAATTATAATACAGGTATATATCGGTGTGCAGATTTGTTCACTTAAGTGTAATCGCTATGGTAGAGCATCGGAGTGAATTACGTTTCGTTTTTTATTTTGTTTATGATATTCTGATTTACATTTATTATATTCTTGCGAGTGTTGATAATATATGTTCTTCTATGTTTTTATACTTTTTCTTGTTACAATATTGTTAATAATATACGCATTATTATTGAAGTAAAATATTCGTTGCGATGTTGTTAATGTATCTGAATTTTAATTCCAATCGCGATTGATTATACATTATGAGAATATAATATATTTTATGATAAGTATTCAAAATAACACGAAAATATTATGAAAATAGCTTGTTATAATAACGTGTATTGCCTAGAGAGAATAACATAAATACTAACCGACAATAAATTAATATTGATTTTTATTTTTACTAATATCTAGTTTTATTATTGAAATTTTAATGCAAAAAATGCTTAAAAAATTATTTACAGGGTTTTATAGCGATAACATGATAAACGACAACACAGATGTACCACAAAATCAATCCATAATCGGATGTACAAAATCTGTACCCTGTATTGGAATGCCGTCCATATTACCTGCTTCAGATCATTCAATGATGTCTGACAAAACTTTCAACGCTGCTGTCGTTGATAATCGAGAAGTCGATAAGCCCACTGAAAAGCGTTCTAATGTAAAAGCTTTGATCGACTATAATAATAATTTAATTCAAGAAAAACGGCTCAATGCTCATGCAAATAACTATAAAATCAAAAAAAAATTATTCAACATGGCTTGTCAAAACATGGCAAAATCGTTCGATAGTTGTGGAAATATGAAAGGTGATATGGATCGGGTGGATGATGTTAACGATTTCGTAAGAAATTATTATTTATTTAATAATTATATAATATTGTTGTGAACATTAAATATATGTATATCAAGGGTAGTAATCATCCAATACGTTTGCCAAAGTATGTTGACTAGATTTTAATAGCGAGCCAAGAAAGTGGATATAAATGTATAATTTAGATCATTGCTAATCCTACATTGAACATATGTAGGTATAAATGTACATTATGTCGACACATGTTTTTTTTAATGCTCCGCCAGATTTGTTTTTTTTACCGAGTAGTAATTTTATCTATATTGGGTACTTTTGTTTTAGATTGCCTAACTATATTATAATACATACTATCTGCTAGAAGTCTTGTTATTATAAAATATACCTAGAAAACTTATAGAATATACACTTTGCTAGGCAGTATAAATGTATTCTACAAAATGTTTAATAATTTTATGTTATATCAGATATTGACGATAAAATTGCTATATAATATCATCGATTTAAATTAAAGTGACAGAAATTCAAGAAATAATCATATCAATTTGGTATAGAAGTAACACATTTCTTTCATTTTTTACATCTAGATATTATTTATTTCAATTGTAATAAACCAATAAAAAAAATATAGAATTTTATAGTTATGTTAGTCCATTCAATTCACTTAAATACAACAAAATACATTATTGTTTGAGTGAACACTAACCTAACAGCAGTACACAGTAAACAGTATAATTTACTTAGTTATATCCTTTCTTAAATTAAATTTTTCAATTAGTAATGATATTATTTTTAATTTAATGCAAAAACTTATTTATGAATGTTTATTCAGGTTAAAAATCATGTATCTGAAAAATACGAAGCTATTACAGACATATTAAAAAATCAAAGTCCTCAAATAGATTCAAAATTCTTAAGTTCTATAGAATTTGATTCCAAAACTGATACACCAGAGCTGGATAAAACCATTACCGATGCAGACAAATGTTTTTTGCAAAACGTTATGCTTGCAGTCGAAGCTAACCAAATGTATCACCAAAGCTTCGCACAGATTGTTGATACAAAACAATTTCAAAATCTCAAAGATGTAATGGTTCATGTCGCGTTAACATTGGAAAAAGGAGAAGAATCCGAGCTTATTGGACCAGAACTAATCTCTATTTGCAAAGAGCACTTAGAAAAATTTGGCGTCGTATTGGACAATAAATTAAATAATAAACCGGCGAAAAATCCACTGTTAATATACCAAAAAAAATTTAATTTACTCGAAAACGAGTTATTGGAAAAAAAGAGAAGTATGAAGATCGCTGAAAATCAGATCACACTACTAAAGAAAGAAAAGAAAGACTTAATGAACATGATAAAGAGTTACGATACTATGGATATACATAAAACATCGTTAGAAAAACAGCTAAATGCCGAACAAAAGAAAAACGACAAATTACAGGGTATTGTTGCATCAGTTTTTAATAGGAAAATTAATTATTATGATTCCGAAGAAGAATACGAATTATAATCTCCGTGTCAAAATCAAATACATGCGACTTAGGTTAACAATATAATCAGTTATGATAACTGACATATTATATATAGTCAATATTTATATTATAGTAAAACTGATACTATATTATATAATATAATATACAATATTCTATATACACTATATAATATAGTATCAGTTTGACTTATATCACAGTATTGATTTTTATTTTTTTTTCTTAATAATTTTAATGTACATTTTTAATTGAAAAACGTTTCAAAAATTCTTTCTACTGAACTGACTATACTGACGGCGATTCTTATTATAACATGCCGGTTATCATAGCTGGTTATATTGTTAACCTAAGTTAATAAATGTTATCGCTAACTCTTACATCTTCTAAAACCATATTGTAATCAAATTATCAGCAATAAAAAAGTATAATATAAATGAAAAACAATGCTTTTATTTTTCGTCCGAACATTTAACGCGTTAGAACTTGATAAATTATATCCCTCGAAATAACACCGCTACCATAAAGTATTGTGCTTTTATCAGTGTTCAGAATTTGACAATATGCCACGTTTTTGTTCGAATTTAAACTCGGAAAAAATACAGTGGCAGATGGTTAACTCGCGAATACAATTAAAATGATTTCAAAACTCGTATCAACTTGAATAAAACATTTGATTCCGTATCATTAACGCTCTTCCTAGATGATTATGATTTTTTTTTTTCGTTCAACCCAACGGTTCTTTTTATTATAATACGTGTGTGCGACCCTCATCCGCGTTGCACGCACTCGTATACATGTATAATGAATTATAAATATATATATATATATATATATACGTAGAGCAAAATAGAGGGAAATTAGATTTATTTTTAAGTCAACACAAGGGACCTGTATTGTTTGATAATGGTTCGCTAGGGGATACTCTTTTATAACCGCAGTAAAACACCCTAAAGTGTTGACATAATGCGCATGCACGGGTCGGTGGTGAGTGGAACCGATGCGGATAGACGAAACCAGCGTGGATGACGGGGAGGTGTACGCATGATAGACTGATTTTTAAAGTCATATAATACGGATGCGAATGTTGTCGAACAAGTGTTTGTTGAGATCCCGTGGGGGTCGCGATAATATTGGATACGGAGAGAAAAAACAATGTGACATAGAGAGAGAGAGAGAGAGAGAGAGAATAATAATAACTAATGCAGACCGTGAAATTAACGTTTGTTCTCGGGGTCGTAGGCGTATATATGGTACGTATATATAGAAGTTATAGACGATTCGACCAAAGCACTTTACGAACAATAAAGCCTGTATTATAATACGGCGATAATAACATTTGGAAATAAAATGGTATCGTTTCAAGTGGAATTATATGAAACTATATACATGATACTATATCGATGTGAATAAAACGGTTACGCGTGGTCTTTAAAGCAAATAGCGTGGGAAAGATTTTGACTAAAAAACATTTGCGCAAAGCAAATATTATTTTGAACGTATTACCGTACAATGTTATATGAATTAAAAATGTACGGTCGCTCAGTCGTTTTCTTTTAAATTTCTCTTTGTCTCAATGCATATCTATGTTGAAAAAAAGAAACACTTGACAATATTGACAACTACATCGTGAAGATGTTACCATGTACTGGTCTCGCCGAATTATACGAGTGATACGACACGTCGCACATGATCGATTAAAGTTTGCGTGTAAAGCGTGACCAGAAAACGGCTGAGAAAACTTTTAATGAAATAGCAGTAGGTGACTGACTAATGCTTCTCTCCGTGCAAAAAACAAACGTTACCCGTACGGACTACCGATTAAACGTGTTTTCTTTCTATCGCTGTGCCCGATAACCACGATTCTTCCGGAAGGAGACTTCGCAACGGACTTGTCTTACTTACCACCGATCGGAACTTTTAAATGCGTTAGCGAAATCGAATGCTTAGTGCGCACACAAAGCTCGGATCTCATTCATGGCATTCCCGACGAAGAAAAAAAGAACGTGCGCTCAGCAACGCACGTTTTGTTAAGCGTCGTTTGCACAAAAACTCCGTATTAGTTATGAGCCACGCGCACGTGCACAGGACACGACGGGCGCGTGAGAGGGTTGAAGGCTGTTATATTAAAACCGACGAGTTCAGTATCGACTCCTACAACTCTTCCGCCGGACAAGTCGTTGTTGTCGTCGTCGTCGTCGTCGCTATCAGTCTCACAGTGTAGTGTATAATACACATATATACTACAGCGCTTTCGCGGCTCGCGTACAATCATAATAATAATATAATACACGGCGGTTTCCTTCCTTCGACTGCGACCCACCCTGCGCACACTGCGTACCCCTGCCCAGACTTCTGTGGAGACTCTACACCTATATACATATATATATATATTTATACGTAAACGCGTACACGTCCCCCGACGCCAATCTCATTCATATTTTAAACGTCTCGTACGGCCTTAACGGTTTTCTCGTTATCATCGCGAGCGCTTTAACGTGCACGACGTACGCGTGTGCGTGGTGCAACCCCCTCTCGCAACGACAACGGTAACCCTGCGAAGCGCGTGGGGGGGGGGGCAGAATACCGCCCCCGGCGCGCACAACAATGTGTCGCGAAACGCGCGAGCGAACGGGCCACGCCGAAATAGGAATATGAATAATAAATCCCGTCGCCCGTCGAGCGCAAATGGATGTTTAGAGCAAAATATTTATATTCGTTTAGCGCATCCGGACTTCTATACGCACACATTATTACATACGTATATTCGTCGAAATATCGTTATATAATATACACATACTTACGTATGGAAAGCAAGCCCGTGTTGTACGCGACTACGCATCCGCCACAACTACGACGTTTTGACATTGCGTAATATTTATTTATTTTTTTTACGCTTCCGTTCTAGCAAAACATACATTTTATTACGTATAAAACGCGTACTTCCGCGTGTTACAACGCCCTATACACGATTTTAACGTGTTTTATTTCTCACGAGCGCGATTTCTCATTTTTCCTCGCGCCACTGCCGACTGTTCATCACCAGTGCCGGGATGAAACCAGGCGGGAAATGCCCAGCGTTTTTCCCGTCAACAATTATAACGCTTCTAAAAAAACCATTTGAAATCAAAAATTCTTAAATAAAATTTCAAAAGCTAAGAAATATTAAATTTATTCGTGTATAGGTCAAGAGAAGTCTTGATAATAATGCTTGGAAAAAAAATATCTTTGCAACTTTTAGTTTTATTGATTACAGTTTAAGGTAAACATTGTATGGCGTGCATTTTAGTTAAACATTAAAGTTGGAATCTAAGTAGAAGCTACATAATTAGTATGTGTTCAAAGTCATCTAACCTTTACATTATATGGTCTGTAGTCTCAATCTTAAGTCCAAGACGAAAATGATGTACAATTTATTAAAATCATTTTCAGTTTTACCATAATAAAATGGATTTAGATAAAAATCTTTGTTCGATTCTAAAACAATTATTTTATTGAAACAACTATGTCTATGATAACGTTTGCTAATCCACTTATTTGCTAAAGGATAAGGAAAATGAATAAAATTAGCTAAGTTAATTTATATTTTGGTTTTATTTGGAAAATACGAAAGGACAATGATAACATTGTTGACTCTCTTAACGGCTTCTGATACTGAAGGATTACGGATTTAATGTTATAAAAAAACATGTGCTGCCCGGTCAAAATCTGAATCCACGCGTAATACATGGGCCGGTAGTCTTGACTAAACTTCTCGTAAGTATTTTTATTTCAATTCTCATTTTATATACCTACTTTGTGTAATGTACTTTTTATAAATATTTTACGTCTAATTGCTATCATAAAACTAATTGTTGATGGTTAGAATCTCTACTCGTATAATTTTTATTTACAAGCCATTTAGATAAATTACAATGATAAATTATAATATATATTATTACCTCAACGAACTAAATGATTACATGTGCTGGGAAAATATAACAAAATAATATACATATAACAATAATTATGAATAAAGAAAACATATTTTATATACCGATGGAAATTTTATAACACAGCTAATGTCATTCATATTTTATATATTTCAATGTGTTACGTCGGAATACACTGAAGTGTACCATAAACCACACACTAGACATTAACCTATGTTGCGTATTATATATTTATTATTTATATGTATACTATACAATAATGTCATCGTCAAACAATGTTTCCAAGACGATATCATTTTACGTGAAATATTGTTTTTTTCTATAAATTCTACAAGCTATGTTAGTCGTTATGTATGTATGATCGAACTTAATGCAGGTAATTAATATAACTATTTAACTTAAGTATGATGCTGAAATAATATTTTAATTGTTGTTAACTAATGAATACAATTTTAAACTTCACATTATGAATTATCCTCGCTAAAATATTACATGGTACTTTTAAATAATTTTAAATTTGCTATATTTTATTTTTAAAAATATTAACGAGGTGCGTTTTTTTTTTTTAGTTTATATACACTCGTATGACATAATGCTTTCACATAAAATATAAATAACTCCATTCAGCTCTATTCATTATTCTCATATTAAAAAAGCAAATTTACTAACATTATTACCTATTATATAATAATCGAATACAGTACACAACAATGCTGATATTTCTATGAAAACTAAAGCTTAGATAAACAATGTTAAATTAATTTTAAAACTGTTTGATTCTAACACAATTTTGTACTTTTTAAAATTTCTCTTCAAAGTATAAAATATTCTTTCGTACTAAACGACCGTACAATTACATTATATATAGTCAGCAAGCAGCAGCGCTTACATATTTTTTATATATTTACCACGTGGTAACCGCAAATGGCTCTGCTTTTAAAGTTTTGAATATTAAATTAAACATTAATGTAATCAACGGATAATTTGAAACCAACATTTATAATAGTATTATAATATTGTTCACAAAATAAAAACAAAAACTGTTCACAATTATAAGAAATTCGAGTTAAATGTTTTATTGTTTTAAATAATTTCACTTTAATATTAAATAACTTACTCG